GCAGATTTTGCCTGATTTTCATCAATCCAAGGCAGAGAGCAGAGCTGGAGGTGCTGCTCTGGATTCAGGGACAGGATGGAAATTGGGGGATTTTAAAAGCAAGAGCAGGGCAGGGCAGGGCTGGAGGGAATTTTGGAATAAATCCATTTTACCTCTCCGCAAAGGCTCCAGAACTACAGAGAATCCTTTCAAAGGCTCCTCCTCCTCCTGTAAATGAAACTTTCTGCTCCATAAAAACCTCTTGGTGCTCCTAAAGAAAAGCATTTTATCCCATCTTTCCTTCCAGAATGTTTAATACAAATTAATTCTAACGGGTATTTAAAAATAAAATATTTTTTAAAAAGGGTGAAGCCCGCTGCTGCTGCAAAATGATGTATTTTAAATAAAAATATTCAAAATAATAAAAATATTCAAAATAATAAAAATATTCAGCTTGATTAATTTGCTCCAGTCTGTAAAAATGTGAAATTTCCAACAGAGACCAAAGTGTTTGTACCAATCAGCAAAACAGGTTTGGAAAAGTGACAAAATCCTTTCAAAGGCTCCTCCTTTGGTAAATGAAACTTTCTGCTCCATAAAAATCTCTTGGTGCTCCTAAAGAAATGCATTTTATCCCAGCTTTCCTTCCAGAATGTTTAATACTAATTAATTCCAATTAATTTGGCATTTTAAAAGGTGATTTAAATTTTGCTGCTGCTGAAAAAATGATGTATTTTAAAATAAAAAAAAAAATTATGTACTTTAAAAGAAAAATATTGAAAATAATAAAAATATTCACCTGGATAATTTGCTCCTGTCTGTAAAAATGTGAAATTTCTAACAGAGACCAAAGTGTTTGTACCAATCAGCAAAACAGGTTTGGAAAAGTTGCAAAATCCTGAAAATTTGGGATTTTTATGGGGTTTGGGTTGTGAGACAGAAAAAAGCATCAGGCAGCCTCCAACCCAGCAGAAATGAATGTGGGAGAAGCAGAACAGTTCTGTGAAATAAAGGGGAAAGGATAAAACAACCCAAAAACTGCAGTGAAATAACAGAAAATTGGATTTTCACAGCCTTAACTTCTCTTAACCGTGTTAGGAAAAAAGAAATGAAGCAACCAAAAATAAATTTGAGGTGAGAGTCATAAAATAAACTTGAGAAATTCAAAATTCACTTCAGAAAACATCAGGTGGGGCAGGTGAAGAACCAGATCCCCTGGAACTCTCCCTGCACACCCAAATTTAAAGAAAATCCTAAAAATCCAATGCAGAAGAGCAGCTTGAAATATTTTGGGGACCAGCTCTGGGAATCTGAGATTTGCACAAATGTTTGCTACTCCCCAAATTTTTATTTTTTAAACGTGGCCAGAATTTCCCAGAATTACCCAAAAAGTTGAAGTAGCACAAATGTTTGCTACTCCCCAAATTTTTATTTTTTAAATGTGGTCAGAATTTCCCAGAATTACCCAAAATTTCCCTCAAAAAGTTGAGGGAATTTCTGCTCTCCCAGCAATCCAGCAGAGCTGTGGGAGAGGAGAGGGAATTACATTTTCTTTTTCTTTTTCAAGACTGAGATTTCCCTGCAGCCTGATCTGTTCTGGAAAAAAAAAATAATAATAAAAAAATCAAAGCATTGTAAAAAAATAAAAATAGATTTACAATGAAACAACATCATCTTTATTGTAACTGCAACAGGAGTTCCATGAGAGTCAAGAATGTTAGAGAAATTTAATTTTGCTAAGAAAAAGGAATTTACCAGCCTCAATAAAAGCCAGGGAATCCCACAGGACAATCACTGAGCTGCTGCAGGAATATTCATTCCATCCACCTGAACTGCATTCAGGGTCCTTTCTGATCATTTTTAGTGTCTAACTCGAGGAAATCTCCAAAATCCCAAAGAGGATTCAGAACCTGCTGCCACCAGAAATCCCAAATTCATGAATTAGCTGCCTTATGTCACGTTCCAGAGGCTGGTTAATAATGGGGACTTCTGGGACAAAAAAGTTAAAAAGCAAAAAAACCAAGAAGGATGCAAAGCTGGAAGGGAAGGTGAGCAACAGACAGAAGCACAGAGGGATTAAGGAAAAAAATCCAAATAAAAATGGCAGGTCCAGTTTTCAATGTTTCCACCAATAAACGTGGCAGGAAACTGTCTGAGGGTGTGAAAATTGAGGTTTGTGGAGGTTCATGAAGTGCAGAAAATAAAAATAAAAATGAAGGAAAGGATTTGGCTGCTTGGATAAAAGCAGATTAAAATGGCAGCAACAAAGTCCTGCTCTGCCAGGGATGGCCCCACTGCAAAACATCCCTGCAAAAAAACATCCCTGAAAAAAAATCCCTGCAAAAGATCCCTGCAAAAAGATCCCTGCAAAAAGATCCCTGCAAAAAGATCCCTGCAAAAAGATCCCTGCAAAAAGATCCCTGCAAAAAGATCCCTGCAAAAAGATCCCTGCAAAACATCCATGGAGCTCGGGCCTCAGATCCCACAGGCACGGGCAGCTGATCCTACAGATCCTACAGAACCTGGGGAGCTGAACCCACAGATCCCACAGGAATGTGGGGAACTGATCCCACAGATCCCACAGGAAATGTGGGAACTGATCCCACAGATCCCACAGGAAATGTGGGAACTGATCCCACAGAAGGATAAGGAGCTGAGCCCACAGATCCCTCAGGCCCCACAAGAAGGATGAGGAGCTGATCCTACAGGCAGAAGGGGAGCAGATCCCACAGGAAGGGTGGGAAGCTGATCCCACACATCCCACAGGGGTGAGGGGAGCTGATCCCACAGACGGGGTAAGGAGAAAACCCCACAGGGAGGGGAGAGGAGCAGATCCCTCAGACCCCACAGGAAGGGTGAGGAGCTGATCCTACAGCACACACTGCAGCAGGGGAGCAGATCCCACAGGAGGGGTGAGGAGCTGACCCCACAGATCCCACAGGAGAAGTGAGGAGCTGATCCCACAGACCCCACAGGAGCAGTGAGGAGCTGACCCCACAGATCCCACAGGAGCACTGAGGAGCTGAGCCCACAGGCAGCAGGGGAGCTGATCCCACAGGGAAGGGTAGGGAGCTGATCCTACACATCCCACAGGAGGGGTGAGGAGCTGAATCTGCAGGTATAGAGGGAGCTGATCCCACAGGAGGAGGAGCTAATCCTATGGGCAGAAGGGGAGCTGACCCCACAGACCCTACAGGAAGGGTGAGGAGCTGATCCTACAAGTTTAAGGGGAGGTGATTGACCCCACAGAGCCCACAGAAGGGATGAGGAGCTGACCCCACAGGCAGAAGAGGGGCAGATCCTACAGAAAGGGTGAGGAGCTGATCCTACAGGTATAAGGGGAGCTGATTGACCCCACAGAGCCCACAGGAGGGGTGAGGAGCTGATCCTACAGGCAGAAGGGGAGCTGACCCCACAGACCCTACAGGTACAAGGGGAGCTGACCCCACAGAGCCCACGGACACGAGTGAGGAGCTGATCCTACAGGCAGGGGTGAGGAGCTGACCCCACAGAAGGGATGAGGAGCTGACCCCACAGGCAGAAGGGGAGCTGATCCCACAGACCCTACAGTTTTAAGGGGAGCTGACTGACCCCACAGGCAGGGGTGAGGAGCTGACCCCACAGAGCCCACAGAAGTGGTAAGGAGCTGATCCTACAGGCAGCGGTGAGGAGCTGACCCCACAGGTTTAGGGGGAGCTGACCCCACAGGTTTAGGGGGAGCTGACCCCACAGGTTTAGGGGGAGCTGACCCCACAGGTTTAGGGGGAGCTGACCCCACAGGAGCAGGGGGGCACAGGAAGTGCCCAGTGCCCCCCCCTGTGCCAGGGATCCCTGGGGCTCTGTGAGGGCGGCCAAGGAACAGCCAGGGCTGGCTCAGGGCCATGCTCTGCTCACAGCCACAAAAGGAAATCCCTCACCCCAAAAGCTGAAGAATTTCATTTTACATTATCTGGGAATTTGTTTGCTTGGTTTTTTTTTTTTTTTTTTTTTTTTGGGTTTTTTTTTTTCCCTTGGAAAAATCGATAATAAAAACATTTCCCACCATACCCAATGGAAAGCAGGTTTAAAAATGATTTTGTCATTTCTCTCCCCTGTTCTGCCCCTCTACAGAAGGAATAAAAGAAGGCTGGAGGTTGAAAATCTGAATTTCTCTGGAATGGGCTGCAATTTGCCTACAGCAAGAAGAGTTTTCTATCCAGCAGAGACAAAAGATCTCCCTTCCTGACTAGAGGGGCTTTTTAAAATCAAAGATACTGGAGCATCTCAGAGTTTCTTGATTGCTTTCCATGAAAAACGTGCCTGAATCCAAGAAACACAGGATTCCTCCCTGTGCTCCATCCTCCTCCACTGCAATCAGCTCAACTACATTTTTGCTGAGACTAAACTCATCTCAAAGTCTGTTAAAGCAAAGCTTCATTATTTTTTTTTTCCCCATATATTCCAAATACAGAATAATAGTTTTAAACAGCTCTTACCAGCACTGGGAAAAAAAAATCTATTCTATTTAAGGATTTGTAAGTATGGTTTCCACAGATCAGTCTCAAACCTTATTGCTTCACAACTGCAGTACCCTTGGGAAAAAAAAAAATGAAATATTGAAAATAAAATCAAATATTGGGGAAAAAAATCAAATATTGGAAAAAAAATCAAATATTGGGGAAAAAAATCAAATATTGGAAAAAAATAATCAAATATTGGAAAAAACAAATCAAATATTGGAAAAAAAAAATCAAATATTGGAAAAAAAAATCAAATATTGGAAAAAATTGAAATATTGGAAAAAAAAATCAAATATTGGGCTGTTAATTTGTCTCAAATGGCTTCTCAGATTTGGCAGGGGAGGGAGAACGGAATGGCCAACAGAGAACATTGACTTCAAAATCTCACTGTAGAAGGGTTTCCTCTTATTAAAAAAGAATTACACTGTATTAAACAGCTGAAAGTAAAGACAGCATTCAAAGCCCATGAGTCAAGCCACAGCCAAAACCGTGTTCTACCCCTAAGTATTGTTTTCTTTTCCTTTTTCTTTTTTTTTTTTCCTCTTTTTTTTTTTTAAACAAAGATTTTTTTTCCTCAACTGCCATTTTAATCTTCACCAGAGGGTGCTTCATCTTCAGATCCCTCATCCCCTGACTTTTCTGGTGGAGGGCTGGCTGATTTTTTCTTTTCTGGGGGACTTTCAGGCTCTTCATCCTCTTCTTTTGGGGATGGGGTTTTTTCTTTTGTTGCCTTGGAAGCTGTGGGGCGACCTGCCTTCCCTTTGCCTTTCACTGGGCTGGGGGTCACTGGAAAAAGAAAAACTTTGTAAAACTCAGCAGCAGCAGAAAGAAAAAGGCAGAAAAATTCCCAATAAATGGGATTTTCCAGTCATTCAGCAGCAGTTTGACCATACCCACAGTGGTTTTAGCATTCCCAATTAGCAAAGCTGAAGTGAAGAGTGATTTAATGAGATTTAAAAGGTGTTTGATTGCAGGTCCTGGTTAATTGTTGGATGTGACATCAAAAATGCACCCAGCTCTGTCCAAGCAGAGCACACACTGCTGTTATAATTTGAATTTCCTGCAGAATGTCCAAGCAGAGCACACATTGCTGTTATAATTTGAATTTCCTGCAGAAATGCATCCAGCTCTGTCCAAGCAGAGCACACATTGCTGTTATAATTTGAATTTCCTGCAGAAATGCACCCAGCTCTGGTCCCAGCAGAGCACACATTGCTGCTGTTATAATTTGAATTTCCTGCAGAATGTCCAAGCAGAGCACACATTGCTGTTATAATTTGAATTTCCTGCAGAAATGCACCCAGCTCTGTCCAAGCAGAGCACACATTGCTGTTATAATTTGAATTTCCTGCAGAAATGCACCCAGCTCTGTCCAAGCAGAGCACACATTGCTGCTGTTATAATTTGAATTTCCTGCAGAAATGCACCCAGCTCTGGTCCCAGCAGAGCACACACTGCTGTTGTTATTTGAATTTCCTGCAGAATGTCCAAGCAGAGCACACACTGCTGTTATTTGAATTTCCTGCAGAAATGCACCCAGCTCTGTCCAAGCAGAGCACACACTGCTGTTATAATTTGAATTTCCTGCAGAAATGCACCCAGCTCTGGTCCCAGCAGAGCACACATTGCTGCTGTTATTTGAATTTCCTGCAGAAATGCACCCAGCTCTGGTGCCAGCAGAGCACACATTGCTGTTATAATTTGAATTTCCTGCAGAAATGCACCCAGCTCTGTCCAAGCAGAGCACACACTGCTGTTATAATTTGAATTTCCTGCAGAAATGCACCCAGCTCTGTCCCAGCAGAGCACACACTGCTGTTATAATTTGAATTTCCTGCAGAAATGCACCCAGCTCTGCTCTGGTTGACATTTCACAAAGTCCCAAGCAAAGCCACAAATTGTCATTATTTATTATTTGCCTGGGAGGCACCAAGGCAGAATGCAGCCCCTCAGCTTTTCCTACCATGAGTTTTTACCACCAAAACACAGCCACCAAATCAGCCCCTAAAGAAGAACTAAAGCCAAGCTCATCACTCCCTCCTGCTGCTTCCAATCGTGGATTTTGGCCTTTCCAACATTTCTGTGGCTGTCCAGGACCCCAAGATTTCAACCAAGCTCTGCAGCAAAAAGAAAAATCTGGATTTTCAACTGAGAACCTTTCCTTGCACAGACTCACCTGTAGCCTTTAGCCTGGGCTTGGGCATTTTCTTTTCTTTCCTCTCTGGCTTGGATTTCTTGGAGACCTTCTTGTTTTTCTTTTTTGAACTGCCATAGTCACTGTCATCATCATCTTCCATGAGGAAGTCTTCATCACTTCCTGAATCTGCTGGAAGCATAAGGAAATTTCAGGTTTTTTGGGGAAAAAAAAAACCCAAAAAAGGAAGAAAAAGATAAAAGATACAGCTGAAATCTGCCAGTGAAATTGTGGACACAGACTCTGAGACTTTGTGGGCTTCCATTTATCTGCTGTGCTAAAATCTGAGGGGGTTTTTACATCAGCAAAGCCACAGAGACAGGAAAAAGTAGAAAAAAAGCATTGAGAAGTTTACAATTAAACTTTAGGGCTGCTACAAAGAAAGAGATCTCTGGAAAACACACACTCATTTCAAACACACCCTCAAATTATCTGCAAGGAAAAGGCACCAAGGTGAAGTTTCTTGTCTCAGATAATTCCAGATTCACTGAATAAACTCTTCAGTTATTTAAGGATTTCCTACTTAAAAACTCTGGACTGCAAAAATTCCAAAGCAGTTTTGAAGCTCTGGTTTATCTCCCACTGAACATCACCAACCAAGCTTGCAGGAACAAGAAATGGTGCAAATTCATGACAGATTGCAACTTTCAAGTTACACAAAGTGGCCACAGCCACATTTCTATAATTTATGTATTTGATGATTTAAATCTCATTCTGGATAAAAAAAACAAGGAAGGGATTAACAGATCTACCCATTTGTGAGGATAAATGTTGTGGGACACACACACAAACCTTTGCTGCAAACTTGGAGCACAAATTGAGCTGTGCAAACCCAGCTGGGACAGACAGACAATAAAAATGAGGAGCACAATTTCCATTTGTGTCCCAGCAAAAACCCAACTGTGTGTGCTCCTTTTTCCCATCCCATTTCCTCACTCTCCTGGAACTGTGCCTCATCATCCTCCTGCTCTTCCTCCTCACTGCCCACATCATCCATGAGCATCTCCCTCTGTTTGGAGGCTGCTGTGTCTCACAGATTCTTCCAGATTCATTGAGTGAACTCTTCAGTCATTTAAATTTTCAGTTTAGATCTTAAAATCTGTCACTGAACTTTAAAAACTTTGGACTGCAAAAATTCCAAAGCAGTTTTGAAGCTCTGGTTTATCTCCCACTGAACATCACCAACCAAGCTTGCAGGAACAAGAAATGGTGCAAATTGATGACAGATTGCAGCTTTCAAGTTACACAAAGTGGCCACAGCCACATTTCTATAATTTAAGTATTTGATGATTTATAATTTAAGTATTTGATGACTTAAATCTCATTCTGGATAAGAAAAGCAGGGAGGGGATTAACAGATTTACCCATTTGTGAGGATAAATGTTGTGGGACACACACACACAAACCTTTGCTGCAAACTTGGAGCACAAATTGAGCTGTGCAAACCCAAGTGGGACAGACAGACAATAAAAATGAGGAGCACAATTTCCATTTGTGTCCCAGCAAGAACCCAACTGTGTGTGCTCCTTTCTCCCATCCCATTTACTCACTCTCCTGGAACTGTGCCTCATCATCCTCCTGCTCTTCCTCCTCACTGCCCACACCATCCATGAGCATCTCCCTCTGTTTGGAGGCTGCTGTGTCTCACAGATTCTTCCAGATTCATTAAATGAACTCTTCAGTCATTTACATTTTCAGTTTAGATCTTAAAATCTGGCACTGAACTTGAAAAACTTTGGACTGCAAAAATTCCAAAGCAGTTGGAATTTGAAGCTCTGGTTTATCTCCCACTGAACATCACCAACCAAACTTGCAGGACAGTAAGTGATGCAAATTCATGACAGATTCCAACTTTCAAGTTACACAAAGTGGCCACAGCCACATTTCTATAATTTATGTATTTGATGATTTAAATCTCATTCTGGATAAGAAAAGCAGGAAAGGGATTAACAGATTTACCCATTTGTGAGGATAAATGTTGTGGGACACACACACAAACCTTTGCTGCAAACTTGGAGCACAAATTGAGCTGTGCAAACCCAAGTGGGACAGATAAACAATAAAAATGAGGAGCACAATTTCCATTTGTGTCCCAGCAAGAACCAAACTGTGTGTGCTCCTTTCTCCCATCCCATTTACTCACTCTCCTGGAACTGTGCCTCATCATCCTCCTGCTCTTCCTCCTCACTGCCCACACCATCCATGAGCATCTCCCTCTGTTTGGAGGCTGCTTTGTCTCACAGATTCTTCCAGATTCATTGAGTGAACTCTTCAGTCATTTAAATTTTCAGTTTAGATCTTAAAATCCATAACTGAACTTGAAAAACTTTGGACTGCAAAAATTCCAAAGCAGTTTTGAAGCTCTGGTTTATCTCCCACTGAACATCACCAACCAAGCTTGCAGGAACAAGAAATGGTGCAAAAATTCATGACAGATTCCAACTTTCAAGGTACACAAAGTTGCCACAGCCACATTTCTATAATTTAAGTATTTGATGATTTATAATTTATGTATTTGATGATTTAAATCTCATTCTGGATTAAAAAGCAGGGAGGGGATTAACAGATTTACCCATTTGTGAGGATAAATGTTGTGGGACACACACACCAACCTTTGCTGCAAACTTGGAGCACAATTTCCATTTGTGTCCCAGCAAGAACCAAACTGTGTGTGCTCCTGTCTCCCATCCCATTTACTCACTCTCCTGGAACTGTGCCTCATCATCCTCCTGCTCTTCCTCCTCACTGCCCACATCATCCATGAGCATCTCCCTCTGTTTGGAGGCTGCTTTGGACGCCGCCTGCCGCTGCTGACGAACATTTTTGTGATCTTCCTTCTCATCCTCGCTGTCCTCTGCAGGAAAAGGCCCCAAACTGGGCTGAGTACAGAGCACTGAGCACACAGCTCCTGCCATGAGGCAGCAAAATCTTTTTAGGGCATTTATCAGGGGGTTAAAACCCTCACTGAGTTACTGTGGGGAAAATTCAACCTCGTCAATACCCACCCAACAAAGATCCTCTGCAAAAGAATTAATTTTTTTCCCTTTTTTCCCCTCTTTTTTTTTTCTCTTTTTTCCCTTTTTACCTGCAGGCCTTTTCCTGGATTTGGAGGCTGCTCTCTTGTTCTTGTCTGGTTTAGCTTTCTTTCCTTTTTTGCTTTTTTGGGAGCTCTCGTAGTCGCTGTCGGCTTTGCCGTCGTCGGCTCCTACGTCATCGTCTTCACTGCCAAAATCTTCATCTGCAAAGAAAAGGCAGCAAGGTGGAATCTCTGGGATCATTCTGGCTAAAAGCTGCAGGAAGGGATCAATCTATGCACTCCTGAAGATAAATTTTATAGGATCATCACATAACACAAAAAAAACCCCATTACCCCAAAGCAGGGTGGGAAGAAACAGCAGCAGAGGCAACATATGACTTCAAATAAATCAGAATAATTTAATTTCTGCCTCAAATTCTGCTCCTGCAGCTCTCACAGGTGTGAACAGCCATGGTTTAAAGCTACACAATAGTTACCTGCTGAGTGTGAATCATCTTTCTTAGTCTTCACATCTTTGTCTTCTGAATCCTCACTGCAAATGACAGAAGGGGAAAGTCTGAGTGTTTGTCTCAGCTTGGATTTCAGTCACTCTTGTGTGGAAAACAACAACTTGTAAAGAGCAAATGATGTCCAAGCTGAGAATTTTCACTTGTCCTGGACATACTCAGGATTACTCAGCTGTCTGTGGAGTTTTCATGGTTGGGAAGATAAATTTCAGACTCTGAATCACAAAAAAACTTCAACCAGGCAGGAAATAATCGGATTGAGGTGAAAAATTCACTCTTAAACCAGCCCACAAGGGGCTTCCCAGTTTCAATTCTGATGGTTTATATGCAGTTTAGAAATGCAATAAAGGTTTATCCTAAATAGATTTGAAGGCAGCACTTGTCTTTATGTCATTGTTTAAATTCCATTCTGTGCATCTTGCTCTTCATTGACATAAGTCTGACCTAAGCTTCCTCACTTTATTTGATCATTTGGTTGATTTGGAAAATAAAAGACATCTTGGGGTGACAGAACAAGAACCAGCTAGCAGAACCTGTGGACCTTCAGAACCAGCATCCCTGAAGCTGAAATCTGTCTTAACAACAAAAAAAAATCATTTCAAAGGTCTTGAGGCAATCATTGGGGGCACTGCAAAATGGAAATTCTACAGGAAAAATTCACTTTCAGCTCCCAAAGTAAGTTCTGTGTTTATGGATTACCCAAAATGGGGAACAAAGAAACACAGAACTTCCAGGTGTCCCCAACCCCTGGCACCACAGGGGTGCCCTGAGAGGCTGCAGGAGCTGCCCCTTGCCCTGACCCACCTGAGGATGCCAACCCTGGTGCCTAAATCCCTTTCCCTGCCCCTCCAGCAGGGCTGACCCATCTAAAATCAAGTTTAAGTTGCCCTCCTGAGCATCTCTAAGGTTTATAGATTATCCAAAATGGGGAACAAAGAGAGACAAAACTCCCAGATGTCCCCAGTCCCTGGCACCAGAGGGATGCCCTGGGAGGCTGCAGGAGCTGCCCCTGGCCCTGACCCACCTTTGTGCCTAAATCCCATTTCCAAGCTGCCTCTGCAGTGATGGAGCCCTGCAGCCAGGAGCTCCTCAGGTGATTCCTGCCTCACCTCAGTGTCTCAGCCCCCAGTCTCACTGCAATTCCACTCCCCACATACAGGAAATGCTGCCAAGAGATCAAAGCTGATTTTCTTACCTGTCCTCATGAGAATTCTTCCCAGATCTCCTCTTGGGGAGATGAGCACCACAGGGATGCCCTGAGAGGCTGCAGAACAGGGGCCAGGAGCTGCCCTTTGCCCTGACCCACCTGAGGATGAGCTGCTGCCAACCCTGGTGCCTAAATCCCTTTCCCTGCCCCTCCAGCTGCCTCTGGAGCAGGGCTGACCCATCTTAAAGTTTGAGTTGCCCTCCTGAGCATCTCTAATGTCTACAGATTACCCAAAATGGGGAACAAAGAGAGACAAAACTTCCAAATGTCCCCAATCCCTGGCACCACAGGGATGCCCTGGGAGGCTGCAGGAGCTGCCCCTGGCCCTGACCCACCTTTGTGCCTAAATCCCATTTCCAAGCTGCCTCAGCCCCCAGTCTCACTGCAGTTCCACTCCCCACACACAGGACAAGCTCTCAGAAATGTTGCCATGAGATCAAAGCTGATTTTTTACCTGTCCTCCTGAGAATTCTTCCCAGATCTCCTCTTGTTTTTCGCCTCTCGGGGAGATGAGCGGATTTTCTTGGATGGGGGACCTGAATCTCTTCCATAATCATCATCTGGACAGACAGACAGCACAACATGGCTTTGGCTCAAACTCATGCCCAGCAAACTCAGCTCCCCTCAGACACAGCTCCAACTGAGCATTTCGTGCACAGCAAAAAGAAAAATATCCCAAAGCTGCAAAAAAACCTTGGTGGAAGCAAAGCCCTGCTGGAATCCCTGATCTGAGCTTTGCCTCTGCCACAGCACCAGGAAAATGTTCAGGAGTCACAAACAAACCTCACAAGAGGCCACAGGATTCATTCTGCATTTAGGTCTCCTCTAAAGGTATTAAAAATGAACATCCCTGGGCATTTCTGCAGGGCTCCACCAGCACAGGCTGTGAGGGGTGAAGGTGCCATGGCACAGGAGTTTACAGCAGAACCTCCCACAGCACCTGATGGATGGATGGATGGATGGATGGATGGATGGATGGATGGATGATGGATGGATGGATGGATGATGGATGGATGGATGGATGGATGGATGATGGATGGATGATGGATGGATGATGGATGGATGGATGGATGGATGGATGGAGGATGGATGGGGGATGGATGGATGATGGATGGATGGATGGATGGATGATGGATGGATGATGGATGGATGGATGGATGATGGATGGATGATGGATGGATGATGGATGGAATCCATGGATGATGGATGGATGATGGATGGATGGATGGATGATGGATGGATGATGGATGGATGATGGATGGATGGATGGATGGATGATGGATGGAATCCATGGATGATGGATGGATGATGGATGGATGGATGGATGATGGATGATGGATGATGGATGGATGGATGATGGATGGATGGATGGATGGATGGATGGATGGATGGATGGATGATGGATGGATGATGGATGATGGATGGATGGATGGATGGATGGATGGATGATGGATGGATGATGGATGGATGGATGATGGATGGATGGATGGATGGATGGATGGATGATGGATGGATGGATGATGGATGGATGATGGATGGATGGATGGATGGATGATGGATGGATGGATGGATGGATGATGGATGGATGGATGGATGGATGGATGATGGATGGATGATGGATGGATGATGGATGGATGGATGGATGGATGATGGATGGATGATGGATGATGGATGGATGGATGATGGATGGATGGATGGATGATGGATGATGGATGGATGGATGATGGATGATGGATGGATGATGGATGATGGATGGATGGATGGATGGATGGATGGATGATGGATGGATGGATGGATGATGGATGGATGGATGATGGATGGATGATGGATGATGGATGATGGATGGATGGATGATGGATGGATGATGGATGGATGGATGGATGGATGGATGGATGATGGATGATGGATGGATGATGGATGGATGATGGATGGATGGATGGATGGATGATGGATGGATGATGGATGATGGATGGATGATGGATGGATGATGGATGATGGATGGATGATGGATGGATGATGGATGGATGATGGATGGATGATGGATGGATGATGGATGGATGATGGATGGATGATGGATGGATGGATGATGGATGGATGATGGATGGATGATGGATGGATGGATGATGGATGGATGATGGATGGATGATGGATGGATGATGGATGGATGATGGATGGATGATGGATGATGGATGGATGATGGATGGATGATGGATGGATGGATGATGGATGGATGATGGATGATGGATGGATGATGGATGATGGATGGATGATGGATGATGGATGGATGGATGGATGATGGATGGATGATGGATGGATGATGGATGGATGATGGATGGATGGATGGATGGATGATGGATGGATGGATGGATGATGGATGGATGATGGATGGATGGAGGGATGGATGGATGATGGATGGATGGATGGATGGATGGATGAATGAATGAATGAATGAATGAATGAATGAATGAAAGAATGAAAGAATGAAAGAATGAACGAATGAATGAATGAACCACTGCAATTACAACCATGCAGGTTTGTCTGGTTTGAATTATCAGGGCAAACTCAGATTGAGTTCATCTCCCAAGAACTCAAAACATTCCAGAATTTCTGTTGATTCACACAGATCAGATGTTTTGACAAATGGGATCCAGAATTTTCATTCAGAGATTCCATTTTTCCAAATATCATCCAGCAATATCTTGTTCATTCACACATATTCTATTATTTTAGAAATGGGATCCAGAAATGTTAAACCACAGAGATCACATTTCTACCAAATGTGATCCAGCACTATTTTATTAATTCACAGATTGTATTATTTTAGAAAAGGATTTCAGAATTTTAATTCAGAGTTTACATTTTTCCCAATGTAATCCAGCACTATTTTAGTAATTCACACAAATTATCTTTTTTAGAAATGGGATCCAGAATTTTAGTTCAGAGATTAATTTTTTCCAAATGTGATTTAGCACTATTTTGTTAATTCACACAGATTCTATTACTTTACAAATGGGAACCAGAATTTTAATTCAGAGTTTACACTTTTTCCAGATGTGATCCAGCACTATTTTATTAATTCACACAGATTGTATTATTTTAGAAAAGGGTTTCAGAATTTTCATTCAGAGATCCATTTTCCCAATGTGATCCAGCACTATTTTATTAATTCACAGAAATTGTATTATTTTAGAAAAGGGTTTCACAATTTTAATTCAGAGTTTACATTTTTCCCAATGTGATCCAGCACTATTTATCAATCCACACAAATTGTATTATTTTAGAAAAGGGTTTCACAATTTTCATTCAGAGATCCATTTTTCCCAATGTGATCCAGCACTATTTTGTTAATTCACACAGATTCTATTACTTTACAAATGGGAACCAGAATTTTCATTCAGAATTTACACTTTTTCCAGATGTGATCCAGCACTATTTTATTAATCCACAGATTATATTATTTTAGAAAAGGGTTTCACAATTTTCCTTCAGAGTTTCCATTTTCCCAGTGTGATCCAGCACTATTTCATTAATCCACAGATTATATTATTTTAGAAAAGGATTTCACAATTTTCATTCAGAGATCCATTTTCCCAATGTGATCCAGCACTATTTTATTAATTCACAGATTATATTATTTTAGAAAAGGGTTTCAGAATTTTCATTCAGAGACTCCATTTTCCCAATGTGATCCAGCAATATCTTGTTCATTCACACAGATTCTATTACTTTACAAATGGGAACCAGAATTTTAATTCAGAGTTTACACTTTTTCCAGATGTGATCCAGCACTATTTTATAAATTCACACACATTATCTTTTTTAGAAATGGGTTTCAGAATTTTCATTCAGAGATCCATTTTCCCAATGTGACCCAGCACTATTTATCAATTCACACAAACTGAATTATTTTAGAAAAGGGTTTCACAATTTTCCTTCAGAGATCCATTTTTCCCAATGTGATCCAGCACTATTTTGTTAATTCACACAGATTCTATTACTTTACAAATGGGAACCAGAATTTTCATTCAGAGTTTACACTTTTTCCAGATGTGATCCAGCACTATTTTATTAATTCACAGATTATATTATTTTAGAAAAGGGTTTCACAATTTTCATTCAGAGATCCATTTTTCGCAATGTGACCCAGCACTATTATATTAATCCACACAAATTGTATTATTTTAGAAATGGGATCCAGAAATGTTAAACCACAGAGATCCATTTTCCCAATGTGATCCAGCACTATTTTGTTAATCCACACAAATGGTATTATTTTAGAAAAGGGTTTCAGAATTTTCATTCAGAGATCCATTTTTCCCAGTGTAATCCAGCACTATTTTATTAATTCACACAGATTCTATTATTTTAGAAATGGGATCCAGAACTTTCATTCAGAGATCCCATTTTTCCCAATGTGATCCAGCACTATTTCATTAATTCACAGATTATATTATTTTAGAAAAGGGTTTCACAATTTTCCTTCAGAGTTTATATTTTTCCCAGTGTGACCCAGCACTATTTCATTAATCCCCACAATTGATATTTTTCCCACAATCCCCAGTCCCTGATGCTGTGGGCTCCCTGGAGCCATTCCAGAAATCCCAAAATCTTTTCCAGTGCAGAAAAGCAGCACCAGGGAGCCTCTGGCCCAGAGCACAGAGAGGGGAGGCCCTGCAGGCACCACAACAATTCCAGCACCAAAGATGGAGATTTCCATCCCCATTGTTGCTTTAACACAAAACATCTGAGAATCATTGAATTTCCAAATACTTATTAACAGTTCAGGCTGTGGAGAACAGAAACTCCTTGGAATTTGGAGCTGAAGATGTGATTAGAGGCAGAACAATTAATATGCATGGAATAATGAGGAAATTAAGGCCAAAAAAATTCATTTACCAGCATCATCTGATTCCTGAAACTGGGAGTAATCCACCACCTTCCTGTTCCTGGAAAAAGCAGGAAAATAAATTAGGAATTTCTGACTTCAGGGCTACTAAAGCTTTAAGGAATAAGAAATGTCACATCCTTTTCTTCAGAGCTGCATTTGTAGCCCAAAAACACCAAGAAAACCTGGAGAATTCAGCCACCTCCACCTGTGCAGCCAGCAAAGGATATTAATGAATAAATAGCATTTTCCTGAGGAGATTGAACAATAATAGGCTCAGAATGTGAATGTGAATTTTGATAAATACACAAAGGTTATAAACCAAACCTTCCTGAGCTGCTCTGTCTGGAATTCCTGTTTCTCACAGCTCACCTGCTCTCCCACCTTCTCCTCCAGTTTTTATTTTCCCATTTGATCCCTGGTTTTAAAGCATTCCAAGTTTCCACTGGAGCTTCCTGAATGAGTGACACCCATCTGAAAGTCAACAAAACCAAATCTGCTCCTTGAACTCCCAGAGACCCCCAGAATGGAATTGCTGGGGATTTATCAGCTCCTTGTCCACCAAACCCCAGTGGTTTTATTGATAAACCATCAAATCCCAGCACTTTTATTGACAAAATATCAAATCCCAGCTGTTTCACTGACAAAGTATGAAAATCCCCAATCTTTTTATTGATAAACTATCAAATCCCAACTCTTATTGACAAGATATCAAATCCCAGCTGTTTTATTGATAAAGTATCAAACCCCAGCTATTTAATGGCCAAGATATCAAATCCCAGCTCTTTCATTGACAAAGTATAAAAATCCCAGCTCTTTTTATTGATAAAGTATCAAATCCCAGCTGATTTATCAATAAACTATAAAATCCCAGCCCTTTTATTGACAAGATATCAAACCCCAACTGTTTAATTCACAAGATATCAAATCCCAGCTCTTTCATTGACAAGATATAAAAATCCCAACTCTTTTTATTGATAAAGTAACAAACCCCAGCTGTTTAATGGCCAAGATATCAAACCCCAGCTGTTTAATGGACAAAGTATAAAAATCCCCACTCTTTTTATTGATAAACTATCAAATCCCAGCTGATTTATCAATAAACTATCAAATCCCAACTCTTTTTTTGATAAAGTATGAAATCCCAGCTGTTTCACTGACAAGGTATAAAAATCCCAACTCTTTTTATTGATAAAGTATCAAACCCCAGCTCTTTAATGGACAAGATATCAAATCCCAGCTGTTTTATTGACAAGGTATAAAAATCCCCACTCTTTTTATTGAAAAAGTCTAAAAATTTCTACTCTTTTTACTGATAAAGTATCAAATCCCAACTCTTATTGACAAGAAATCAAATCCCAGCTGTTTCACTGACAAAGTATAAAAATCCCCAATCTTTTTATTGATAAACTATCAAATCCCAGCTGTTTTATTGACAAGATATCAAACCCCAGCTGTTTAATGGCCAAGATATCAAATCCCAGCTCTTTCATTGACAAAGTATAAAAATCCCAGCTCTTTTCATTGATAAAGTATCAAATCCCAGCTGATTTATCAATAAACCATCAAACCCCAGCTGTTTTATTGATAAACCATCAAACCCCAGCTCTTTTATTGATAAACCATCAAATCCCAGCTCTTTTATTGATAAACTATCAAATGCCAGCTGATTTATCAATAAATTATCAAATCCCAGCTCTTTTATTGACAAAATATCAAATCCCAGCTGTTTCACTGACAAAGTATAAAAATCCCAACTCTTATTGATAGGATATCAAATCCCAGCTGTTTTATTGATAAAGTATCAAACCCCAGCTGTTTAATTCACAAGAAATCAAATCCCAGCTCTTTCATTGACAAAGTATAAAAATCCCAGCTCTTTTTATTGATAAACTATGAAATCCCAGCTGGTTTATCAATAAACTATCAAACCCCAGCTCTTTTATTGACAAGATATCAAATCCCAGCTGTTTTATTGATAAACTATCAAATCCCAGCTGTTTAATTTATAAGATATCAAACCCCAGCTGTTTAATGGACAAAGTATAAAAAACCCCAATCTTTTTATTGATAAACTATCAAATCCCAGCTGATTTATCAATAAACGATCAAACCCCAGCTCTTTTATTGATAAACTATCAAATCCCAGCTGATTTATCAATAAACTATCAAATCCAGCTGTTTAATTCACAAGATATCAAATCCAGCTGTTTAATTCACAACACAACTGCCCCATAAAACAGCAATCCAAGGAAACCATGGCAGCCTTGTTGGATTTGAGAATTCCATGAATTTCAGTTGATAACTCAGCCCTGGAGGAGCTGCAGCTACAGAAATTCCCAGAGCTCCTTTTCCTGCCCTTGGGGCCCAAAAACCAAGGAAAAATGGGATTTTGCATACAAAATTAAATTCCCAGAGCTGCTTTTCCTGTCCTTGGGGCCCAAACCAAGGAAAAATGGGATTTTGCATACAGAAATTCCCAGAGCTCCTTTTTCCAGTCCTTGGGGCCCAAATCAAGGAAAAATAGGATTTTGCATACAAAATTAAATTCCCAGAGCTCCTTTTTCCTGCACTTTGGGCCAAAACCAAGGAAAAATGGGATTTTGCATGCAGAAATTCCCAGAGTTCCTTTTCCTGTCCCTTTGGGCCCAAAACCAAGGAAAAATGGGATTTTGCATGCAGGAATTCCCAGAGCTCCTTTTCCTGTCCTTTGGGCTCAAACCAAGGAAAAATGGGATTTTGCATGCAGAAATTCCCAGAGTTTCTTTTCCTGTCCTTGAGGCCCAAAACCAAGGAAAAATGGGATTTTGCATACAGGAATTCCCAGAGCTCCTTTTCCTGCCCTTCAGGCCAAAACCAAGGAAAAATGGGATTTTGCATACAGGAATTACCAGAGCTGCTTTTCCTGCACTTTGGGCCAAAAACCAAGGAAAAATGGGATTTTGCATACAGAAATTCCCAGAGCTCCTTTTCCTGTCCTTGAGGCCCAAAACCAAGGAAAAATGGGATTTTGCATGCAGAAATTCCCAGAGCTCCTTTTCCTGCACTTTAGGCCAAAACCAAGGAAAAATGGGATTTTGCATGTAGAAATTCCCAGAGCTCCTTTTCCTGTCATTGAGGCCCAAAAACCAAGGAAAAATGGGATTTTGCATACAGAAATTCCCAGATGCAAAATTGGTTTTATTTCAACCCAAAGCTCTTAAAGAAATTGAAAAATCAAAAAATGGAACCAGTTCATTAAAAAACACCCCCAAAATACCAAAAAGGGAAAAGAAGGGAAGATTTGTGCAGGTAAATCAAGTTGAAGTTGCCCTGCTGAGCATCTCTAAGTCATGGCTTGCAGAAGGATGCAGGAGCAAAACTGGGTTTATTTTTAATTTTAATTGTTTTTTAAGCCAAACCTCTTAAAGAAATTGAAAAACCAAAAAAATGAAACCAATCCCTTAAAAAACAGAAATTTTTTTACAAAAAATTTTCCCAAAAATACAAATGAAAGGAAGAGAAAATTTGTACAGGGAAATGAAGTTTGTCCTCTTGAGCACCTTGAACTCATGGCTTAAAATTGGTTTTATTTTTTAAAAAAATGGCATTTTCATAACCTCATCTTCAATTTAGTGCCTGAAGTCTCAGTTTTTAAATCTACATCAGCACAGCCCCACAATCAGAAAAGTTTGGGGGTTTTTTAAGAGAGAATGCAAAGATGAAATGCAAAATCAAAATGTCAAATTCCTATAAACAGAGAATAAAATGGCATTTTCATAACCTCATCTTCAGTTTGGTCCCCAAAACTCTCAGTTTTTAAATCTATGTCAGCACAGCCTCACAATCTGAAAAGTTTGGGGTTTTTAAAGAGAATGCAAAGATAAAAAGCAAAATCAGCATGGCAAAGGATCCCTAAATGCACATAAAACTGAGAATAAAATGTCATTTTCATACCTCAACTTCAGTTTAGTGCCTAAACTCTCAGTTTTTAAATCAACATCAGCACAGCCCCACAATCTGAAAAGTTTGGGGTTTTTAAAGAGAATGCACAGATGAAATGCAAAATCAGCATGGCAAAGGATCCCTAAATTCCTATAAAACTGAGAATAAAATGGCATTTTCATCTTCAGTTTGGTCCCCAAAACTCTCAGTTTTTAAATCTATGTCAGCACAGCCCCACAATCAGAAAAGTTTGGGGGTTTTTTAAGAGAATGCAAAGATAAAATGCAAAATCAAAATGTCAAATTCCTCTAAAACTGAGAATAAAATGGCATTTTCATAACCTCATCTTCAGTTTAGTGCCTAAACCTTCAGTTTTTAAATCTGCATCAGCACAGCCCCACAATCAGATAGAAAAGTTTGGGGTTTTTTTGTATTTTAAGGGAATGCAGAGATTCCCAGATGTTTGTAGAAGCATTAAAAGCCACATTTTAAAAAACCCCACAACACATAAAATGCTGCAAAGCAATGCTGAAAGGAGCCTTCAAAATGCAGGCATTGAAGAGAAAATTTAGATCAAATCAAACCTCCCAGGCTCAATCCAACAGAGCAAGGGCAAGGACATGAAATGGTTATTGAGGTTTTTATTTAATATTTATTTTCAGCACAGCCTTGATTTACCCAATGGGACCAAAACTCCTCAGGGTTTGTGAGCAAAGCTCCAGCCCCTCCTGAGCCTCAGGTTTCACTCTCAGGTAAAGGTGAGGCCAAAATCACCACCAAATATTGCCACTAAAAGCATTTTGGGTGCATTTTTAATGCACAGAAATCAGAAATTGCAGCCAGGAGTGCTCCCTGCAGGGATTTCCAGAGCTGGGCAAGGCAAATCTGCAGGGCTGGATTTGGGATTTCCATGGGCAGGGAGGGGAAGGCACCAGCAGGAGGAGGCCCAGGGCACCTGGGGACAGCCAGGGACCCGCCCTGGGCACTTGGGGGTTAAATCTTTTATTGGTAAACTGTCAAATCCCAGTGGTTTTATTGATAAACTGTCAAACCCCAGCTGTTTTATTGATAAACTGTCAAACCCCAGCTCTTTTATTGATAAACTATAAAATCCCAGTGGTTTTATGGATAAACCAT